CTCCAAATCATCGTGGCCCAATTATCCAATTATCATAAGCCCGACAATCTTGCAAGATTGCCCGCAATCAACCGATTACCCTAGGCTGTGATTACGTGATCCTCCTCTTTAACCAAAAAAAAAAAAAAAAAAAAAAAAAGGACTTCCTGGTGTCCCTCCGGCTGTCCAGGGTTTTCCCTTGGCCAGTGGGACATCAGGAACACCTCTCCCCTTTTTTCTTTTTCTTTTTTTTTTTAAAAAAGGGCTCCATCTAATCCTCCTGTTATCATATTACCGCAAGTGTGACTGTTATCCGATCATCAAGACGGGCATACTCGCACTTTTCTCTACCTCTCTGGACGTGATTGCAGTCAGATTCGTCCAGGTCTAGCCGTAAATGCAGTCAGATGCATTTTATGGAAAGTGCTACCAGTGTTCACCCGCATACGACGTGCGGTCATTATTGCTGCATCTAGTCTCAACGTTGGCCCAAATACAGCTATAATGACCGTACGTTGTATTCGGGTTAAGAGGCGGGGGGGGGGAGGGGTTAAGAGTGAGTATGCCCTAACTCATCCACGTTTCTCCGATTCTCGATAACTCTTCGATCCTTTCTATGGCTCGCACACTAGGACTTTTTTCTACAGGGCTCTGGACGTGATTGCAGTCAGATTCATCCAGGTCTGGCCGTAATTGTAGTCAGATGCATTTCGGAAAATGCTACTGGTAGTGTGAGCATGCCCTAGCTCATCCACATTTACCCGATTCCAGATAACTCTACATTCCGTTCTCTAGCTCGTGCGATCCATGGCTGCAGAGCTCTGGACGTGATTGCAGTCAGATTCATCCGTTTATCCAATCAACCAAGCGATAACTCTTCAGTCAGCTATGGACGTAATCGCCGTCAGATTCATCCATTATCCAATCAACCAAGGGATAACTCTTCTGTCAGCCAGTCAGCCAGCCATCCCGCGATTCTAATCAATAATCGCCTCCATCACTAACTCCCCTTAGGATAACCCCTGGGTGGTGAAAACATATAACGAGCAGTTTCCCCGCCAAAAAGCACTTTTTCCCGCCAAAAGAGCCTTATAGAAAGAAAGAAAGAAAAACGATAAAAAAGAAGGAAACGAGAGAAGCAACAACATGAAGGAAGAAGAAAAGGTGTTCGTTTCATTTCTTTAAAGAACAGGTGGGGATCAGCTGGCTACCCAATAGGAAAATCCGTTTGCCATCATCTTCTTATCCCAAGCCCAACCCAAGTATTTCTTTGCTTGTAGAGCACAACTCGCCTCTCCCTCCCCCGCCTCCTTCCCCC